TTCACCTTTTCAAGGTTAACCAATCAGATGTTTCCACTGACTTCCCAATAGCCAATCATATCATTACTGTCCAACTTGAAGGTGGTCCTTTCTCTTCTTCTCTCAGTTGTCCTTCCAGGGCAGAATCGATGCAAGCTTCCTACGCCCCATTCCCCTCCAACCATCATCACATCCAGATCCCAGGGTTTTCCACTGTCGATCATCAAAAATCATACTCTACATTCCCTTTTCCAGAACTGTCTTCATCTCCATCAGCATCACCACCATCACCACCGGCAGGGCCGGTCCTAGACATTTTGGTGCCCTAGTAAGTAAAATGCTTCAATCTGGTGCACTTTGAGCAGAATTACTAGAGACTAGATCTAGGGGGTAAAACTCTAAACACCCATATGAAAAAGATCGGTTTACATTTTAATAACCAAATAAGTATGTGAACATAACCAATGACCTACCCCAATAACAAATAAATGTAACGTATTTTATTTTTGTTGTTCATTTATATCTTACCTAGTTAACATTTATTTATTCATGCGTTGTTTGTTTTTTTATATCTCCAGTTTTAAACGATATTTTTGGTTTACTGTCCTATAGTAGGCTATACATTGAAATGATTTCAAACCTGTTGTTATTTATCCTAATAATTATAAAGGTGTGCCTTGGAAATATGTGTTTACATAAATTGTGACCAAACCGTTTGAGACCCACTGAGATAACTTAGACTAAAGTGAACTATCTAAACAATCAGAGTCCTTTACCTCACTGAGCTGTAGTTATCAGCCTCAATCCAACAACAATCCGCGGTACCGATGCGCGCCCTCTCTCTCTCGCTCGCACTTTGGCTGTAAGCTGCGGGCGCCTGATAAGTCAACATCCCCCACTTTCCTCACTTACATCGTACAGGGCAAATGAAAAGTGTAACCAGGGTGAAAAGGGTGTTACCTTGACTTAATTATGAATGTTGTTACATCAAGGCTGAAAATTAGGATGAGCCAAACAGTCAAAAATGTTTTTTTCCCTCCCAGAACTACCAGCGCAGCGCCCCCCCAGATCTGGCGCCCAAGGCGACCGCCTATGTCGCTTATGCCAAAGACCGGCCCTGACCACCAGGTTTAAGAATCCATCATGTTAATGCATGTATTTCATCACTTTGAAAAGCCTCTGATGAGCTTGAACAAATTGCAGTGACATCAGGTTTCATTTTTGTTGACACATCTATAAGAGAAGAAGTGTATCTAGACTAGGGATGGGAACGATTAATCGAATATTCGAATATTCGAAATTATTCAGGTATTCGAATAATTATTCATGTATTCGAATATGAGTTTTGAATATTTTTATTAATTTTTTTTTTGTTTTATTAAAAAAATTTTTTGGGAGTGATGCCTAAATTGATTACATATTATCAAATTCAATAATTCAATTTATATATATACGACTGTGCCATAGCTAAATGTGTTAGGTGACGTCTAAAGGTGTGTTTTGCTCCGCTCACCGGCCCCTCACAGCGGGCAGAGCTGCAGGTGCTGATCTCTATAGCAGCAGAAAGCTTACACACCTTCCGGCGCAGACTGAAAACTCATCTCTTTCGACTCCACCTCGAGCGATAGAATTATTAACAAAGCACTTATATACTAATAAAGGACTGGCTTATCTATAGCCAGTTGAGTAGCACTTGAAATGTTTGGCTCTATGAAACCTGATGTAGCCTACTTATATGATTCTGTTTTCTTCAAGGTTGTGTCTTCCTGGTCGAATGTACTTATTGTAAGTCGCTTTGGATAAAAGCGTCAGCTAAATGCAATGTAATGTAATCTCTCTCTCTCTCGTCCGGTTATACTTCACTCGCGTTTATGTCCAAATCCATCAGATCTAGCTAGTTCTAGCTAATGATATGGCTACTGCCCCTCCCTACACGCAGATCACGCAGACTCAAACCTCATCTTAGGCCCAAATGTGGCGCAAATGAGCTGCGCAGCCGTTGCGAGGTTCCGGCGCTAACATACATAGACATTTTGACTGGAGAGATTTAGTTTTGCCGGTATTCAACATATTTTACCAGTCATAGTCCGGTAATTATTTACACTCTAAGAAGAGTCCTACACAACAGACATGGCGTCAAAAAGGAGTAATGTGTGGAAATATTTCGACGAGGTTAGTGAGTGCGGTGTAGAGGTCAAACTATGCCAAATTAAACTTATATATACACATGCTATACCTTGCTATACCCGCAACCTCCGTTCCAGCTGAGAGGGTCTTCTCTACAGCTGGACTGATTGTGAATCGCCTCCACACATGAAAGCTGTAGGCCCTTTCTACACTTATTTGAAGATGTATGTATTTATTTCCAAAAATTATTGAACAAAAATTGGGTAGGAAAAAAAAAAAAAATGTGAACCCACATTTTTTTTTTATAGGATATGTACATTTCGGTTAACCGGTTAACCGTTTTTTGGGGGGTCGAATATTCTAATATACATTTGCTTTCAAATTCCCATCCCTAATCTAGACCTAAAGTAGACCCGGGGAAACATGTCCCTGACTCGCAGACAACCAGCAAGGCGATGTTGTTTCCTTTCTGCAGCTCCTGCAGTTCACGGACAACTCCACATTCACTGATCGCATCTCTGGTGGAGAGGTCAGGACAGTAAGAGCTCAACACTGACAGTGGTTGTAGATTTTCAGTCAGGACCTCGAGTGGAAGCAGAAATCAGCTCGAGGAGAGGTAGTTCTTCCATAAACTTTCCAAAGAAAATTATTCCTACACGGCCATCATTGAGTCCATCTTCCATCACCATCTGGTTCACTGCAGCCACAGCCAAGTAAATGGGCAGTGCAAACTAACATATACTCTGCTGAGAAGCATATCGGCTGCAATCTGCTCACTAGGACATGCACACTCTGAGGAGGGCAGGAAAGACTGTAGAAGACCCCTCCCCTGACATCATTCTCTGTGCATTCTCTGTTACATTTACGCACATCTTGGACTATTATTCGTGTGTGAACTCTGAACTCTTGCAAATCCCCTTATCAATATTTCTACACATCCTAAACCATATCCAGTTATATGGACATTTCTTTTTTTATATTTCCGTTTAGCTATTTTGCCTATATTTTTATTTCCTATATTGATTTTTCATTTATTTTTTCATTCCTCTGTGCTATAGAGCTCCATTGCTGACTAACACCTATTTAAAAAAACATAATTATAATGTGTGTCTGGAAAACGATATTTCCTGTCTCATTTTTACCAAGATTTTTTAAAAACAATGACAACATATTACTAGAACATTTACTTCTGTAGGAAAGCAATGTGAGGCAAAGAGAGTATGAAAGCCAGACAGTCTTAAGAGACTGACAAACACATTTCTGGTTTTGTCTTATCCTTTACTAAAGGTATTCGCGTATTGCGGCGTGTGAACGGACACGTTTCTGGTGCCTGTTGCGTGTGGACGCAAGACTTTTTTGATAACGATTGCGGTCCGTTTGCGTTATCGTCCTCGTGTGGCCGGGGCTTTAGGCTGGAGCCACACGAGGACGATAACGCAAGCGTTTGCTCATGCTGTAAATCTCTCCGGTAGTCCACCAGCAGATGAAAAACACCCGCCTCTTCCAAGGGACGAGGGGACCGTGCAGCAGAGTTTTCGTTAGATTTTTTTCCGCCGGTCAAGATGTCCGTTAAAGTTGAAATCTTCCGAACAAAATTAGAAAAGTGCCGGTCAAAGGTCTTCTTTGTTATTTATTGAGCTTTAAAACAAATGAATAACGACTCTATATATTAATATAAGAATACAAAACGGAGCCTCTCTTTTCCTCCCCCTCTTCTGACAGCCCAGCAGCTGATCTCTGAGCAGGAGAGGTGGGGAGAGGCGGGGCTATTGCGCCATCGTTATCAGGAAATCGTATAGCGTTTCGTTTGCAGATCTACCCACCTTGGGACCCGTTATTGTTATCGTTTTCTGCGTTTCCATGTCGGCCTCGTGTGGCCAAACCGTCTATCTGATAGTGAACTGTTGCAGATACGACTGTTATCGTCCTCGTGTGGCCGGGGCTTTAGAGGAGAAGTTGTAAACAAAGCTTTACTGTTACCATTTGTCTCTGTTGCTCGTGTTTTATTTCAGTTTTTTATTGTATGAAATCAAAAATAAATGAGATACTGGTAAAGGATCTTAAGGTAAGGTATTTTGACACAACTGATGGATAGCTTAATGTGTATTTAATATTTGTCATACTCTCAAAAAACGATGTTATTGCATTTTCCTGTTTTTGATCTTAAAATAAAGCATGGTGATGTTTTATTTACACACCATAGTTTCCTGGAAAGAACTGATTTGAATCTGTAAATGGATAATTCAATTAGTAATTATTATGAGGAAAAAAATCAAGACTGTGTTCAACTGGTACATTCCAATGTAATACACGTTTATCAATTGTTAGTGCAAATTTGAGTCTTTTACTCACTGGTAAATGAGTCTACAGTAAAGTATTGCATTTTAACACAGAATAAAAGGTGCCAATCATTTATGAATAGAAAATAGATATTCAATTGCGTTTTAGTGCTTATTTTAGGTAAATCCCTTTTGAAAACTTCTTATAAACTGAACGCAATGACCTAAATATTACATAAACGTCAAAATAATAGAATCTACATTATTTATTCTGTCATTCTGTCTTACATGTACAGTTTACTTATTCCTGCAGGTTACTTGCACTATTTCACTAATCGCCATATTTTTTTCTTCATAAGTTTACTTTCTTAGTTCTTTCTTGAGTATATATTGCACTGTTGGCAGAGCCTGGGACTGAAGACTTAATCGCCAACAAGTACCCTGTATCTTTTGCGCATATGACGATAAACCCTTTCAATCTTGGATCCTTAATAACTACCAAATTGAATAGTTCTTTCCAGGAAACTACACAAGAGTAGAACAATACATTAAGGATATCAAAGTGATCCCTTTGATTCCTCTGTGGACTGGGCAGGTGGATTTCAGATGTTTTACCTGCACCACAAACGCTGCCAGGCCGGCCAGCGCGGCCAGCAGGGCCATGCGCCGCAGCCGGCCCACGTTCAGCTGCTTGAGCAGAAAGAAGCGTGCCCAGCCCAGCTTTTTGTCTGTGTGGGGGGGGGTAGCGCATGTTGTTGAATGCCTCCATTTTCAGCTGCTTGATCAGACAGCTTCGCAGGTGGCTGAGCTGGTTGAAACCGTGCAGGCCGTGATAGCATCCCATACCGCTGTTACCTGAGAGACAAGCGGGGGAGGAAGTCAGCTACAAATGTTCCTCAGCTTTACTCCTCTAAATAAAAAGGATGTTTAAAACACTTACCAACTCCTCCAAAAGGCAGAGCGCTAACAGTGAAGTGCACCAGACAGTCGTTAGCTAGCAGAGCTCCACTGGACGTCTCTGCTATCACTCTTTTGATCAGCTGTTAATAAGAAAGTCAATAAAACAGCATCGTGGGTCAAATCTTATCAACATGAGCTAGTAAAAATGTCAACTTGTCTTCTGGTGATGTGTTTACCTTGTTGTTGTTGGAGAAGACGTATAAGACCAGAGGTTTTTCTCTCTCGTTAATAAACTGGATGGCCTCGTCCACACCGCTCACAGTGATGATGGGCAGCAGCGGCCCAAAGATCTCCTCCTTCATCACTTTGGACTCCCCCGTCACATCCTGCAACACAGTGGGGGCTGCAGGGACACAGGAGGAAGAGGCTCAAGCTTATACTGTGGATACTGCCTTATATACAGGTAGTGTGTAGGGTTATGTGGTTGCAAGTTGTGTGTATCTTGACGAGAATTTGTGTATGGAACCACTATGATGTAGTCAACATTTTATACTTAAATCACAGGGAGATTGGAGAAAATATAATGAGTTTTCTGTCCTGCAAATATATCCCAGCTTACCTGTGAATACACCCATTTTGATAAATAAGATTCAACCAGATTAAACTGCTTCTTTTGTCAAACCTTTGTCTTTAAAAACAGATACAATCCCGACCACTTTGGCTCTGCTTCAGCTACCAACCCAAACAAACTAAATCTTGATTACATTTCTCTAGCTAATATGCTATTACCTATCAGTGCAATAAAGATGATATGTTGATAATGGTTGTTTTAACGCATTACTTGTTGGATGCCTGAAAAAGCGTATGCTAACAGGTGACTTAATGAGAGTACTAAACGTCATCGAAACGGACACGAGTCCACCTGTAGCTTGCAAGCGTTGTTGACAGTGATTGCGATGTTATGTTAACGGTTTGTTTTTCCTGTGTTGTGTTTTAATATTTGTCCTTGTTGATATGGAAAATGGAGCTGCTGTGATGCAAGTCAAATTTCAGACTTGATCTGACCCATGATGTAGTTTGTTTAAAAAGACATTTACTTTCTTGAAAATGCATTTACGCTTCATAAAATCCCTTAATATGTGGAAATGATTATCATAGAACTTATTTTCTGCAATATTCCAAAATCCAATGGAAAAATCCCATTGCCTCTTTGTCGAGGTAGCCCTTGCCATGCTAAGGTTGACCAATACAAATGTGTCATCACTACACCACACTATATATTCCCAAAAACATGTTTGGGTATAAAAAGCACACTGAAAATACCACCAACAAAATATTAAACAATCCACCACCACAATCTATTCAGTTCCACTTTAGATGTGTGTCCCAACAGACAGAACAAATTCATTTTAGAGGCCAATGGCTCAAAGACACCATGTACCTATATAGCACTGGGATTCATCGCTGCCTCCACCCACAGCCACTGTGCTCCCCTCCATCAGACCCATGAGCCTCTTAAAGTGATGCTGGTTTATAATGCGTCCGTAGTCCTCAAAGGTTTCGGGATTCTCTGTGTAAAACTCCTGCAAGGTGTGAAATATAGGAGAAATGATAATGATTCATGAAATACGCATTAAGGAAAATGTATGGATCATTAGTGGTAAGCGTATAAACGTATCTCCTCCTAACGCCTGTTTCTCTGTTGTGCAAAACAATATATGAAGTTATGATTTATATTGTTTGAACATGGAAAATACACAGAAACATCTTTGTTGTCTTATTCTTAGTTTGTAATCAGTTATATTGTGCAAATGGTACACTGGAGAAAAGTATTTAGGGAGAAACACAAACATACCAACCTTACATTCATCTAGATATAACACATCAATTCCACTGTTATCCATTTTCTTTTTTATTCTATTAATATGCTAATTGTATTTTTTCTTATATCTCAAATGTTTCAATAAGAGGCTCTGTCCCCTTTGTATCCGTGTTTCATGCTTATTCTGATTGGAATAAGATTCCCCCTGATATCCGTCATGTGTCAGCATTATTTTCTCTGAAAATAAACTGCATACATTTTCAGTTAAGTTATGACTGTTCCTTTAATTAAGGATTTATGAACTATCTTTTTCTTTGTATTGTGTTTAGTCTAAGGTAGGTTTTGTTCTCTTTTTGTATTTTTATTTTGTTTGTTGTTGCTATTTACCCTCCGTCCCTAAAACCAAAAGACACGTGATTTCCGAAAGATTAAAGTGTGTGTGTGTGTGTGTGTGTTTGTTTCCTCCTTTGTGTATGGTTATAGTTACTTTGGTGTTTAGCAATATTGCAATGTTTTTTTATTGTCTTTTACATTGAATATTTGTCTTCTTACTTTTGATACTTGCTCTGATGTAGCAACTCATTTAGACCGACCTTGATGCATTTCTTGATCTCTTCCACCACTCTGCTCTGGATGGAGGGTTCGCAGAGGACGAAGTCAGGAGCGATGCACATCTGGCCACAGTTTACAAACTTTCCCCAGGTGATGCGACTGTATTGGGGGAAAAACCATTCAAAAGCTGCTTCCCCACTGCGGTGTGTTTGATATTTATGTAAAGCTTTCAGACTGACCGGCATGCCATGCTGATGTCACAGTTCTTGTCGATGTAACAGGGGCTCTTCCCCCCCAGCTCCAGGGTCACTGGGGTGAGGTGGCGAGCCGCGGCCTCCATCACTATTCTACCCACGGAGCTGCTGCCTGTGTAGAAGACGTGGTCAAACCTCTGCTTCAGCAGCTCCTGGGTCTCTGACACTCCGCCCGTCACCACAGGGAACAGATCCTAGGGAGAGGATGCGCAGCCATTAGATAAAGGTACATGAAGATAAAGGTGAAATCATTCATACAGAAAAAAAGAGGAGGCTCACTTTGTCTAGATACTGAGGGAGGAGTTCCTCCATGACCTTGGAAGAGTTAGAGCTGACCTCTGACGGCTTTATTATTGCTGCATTACCTGAAAGAGAAAACATAGACACAATGATAAGCCTTAAAGGGGCCCTGTTCCGCAGATTTTCAGGGTTAGGCACGAGGAAAATAAACTTTCGGATTTGAGCCTTCGCAGACCATTCAATGCAAAACCCTACATAACACACCAGAGGAAAGGTAAACCCCCCAAAAGCATTATAAGGCCCCTTAAATCACTTAGCCAAACTTCCTAAGTCAATCTGTTCTGAAAAATGTTGCTGCCTGTTAATTGTAAGCACAAGAACCGAATGACAAGACGTTAGGTGTGGACTCCTTTAGAGCTGCAAGAATGAGTAGATCCACAGAAAGTAGATCAATGTGAAAGTCAATTTGAATGCAAAAATGTAGATCTGTGGGTTTTGGATTGACAAAAACAAGAAATGTAAAGACCTCACCTTTGACTTTGATTATTTGCTTGAATAATCCATTGAACCGGTAAATAATCAGCAGATAAATCATGATTAAAACAATGGTTAGTTGCATCCCTGCAGTGTTTCACTGGGAGGGAGTATTGGTTTATAATAGTTGAACTTGTGACTGCACTATTTATATTTCTTTGAAACCGTCTTTTCCCCCGACACTGCGTTGTGTTTTAAAGATGGATCCGACGTGAGAACAAACTCCTAAAGGATGTCAAATCTGGTCATTCACATTATTGACCCTTGTGCCGCTGTAGTCATTTTGTTACACTGTCAACTGTCATACTTATGCCATGTTAGAAAAATGGAGCAGGTCTAACACCATAAGATTGCCCCTGGGATTTGTATGTATAAGGGTCTGGATTGCTTACATACTCTTTTCACATGTTTCTCCTACTATATAGCAAACTAACTGAATTTTGGAAACTGGGATATGAATGTTGTTGCAGCCACACTACTCATGCACTGTGGCTGCATTGCATTCTGCTCTATATAATCTTTTTAAGTTATACATCCTTTGTGATGTATTTCTCCCCGTTTGATTGTCCAAAGCCAGATTAATACTCATGTGCGATTTACCCTAGTGCAATTTACACTTTATTTTTCTTTCAATTTATTTTTCACGGTATCAGCATTGTGTACTTATCTGTTATTTGTTTTTTCACTTATTGTGTTTTTATTAGGGCCGGGACTCGATTAAAAAAATTAATCTAATTAATTAGAGGCTTTGTAATTAATTAATCGAAATTAATCGCATTTTTAATCGCATATACATATTTGACCTAAGAACAGTGAGAAGCAATTTTTTTTCACATGGATTTTAGTATACCATTAGGCGTATTCACACCGCAGTACTTTTCCCACAAAGGTTCATGAGAACTTAGTTCATGAGAACTCTTTGAACCTGGGGGTGGATTAGGCAAATGAAGCCGCTGACGTCACTTCTTCTTCTTCTGCTTTGGGTTTACTGGCAGGCCGCAAACCACTTCACGGCGTATACTGCCGCCCAAAGTCCCCGGCCGGAAGTCCCCGGAGTTGGGGAATTCCGAGTAAATCGCCAGAACGCCGACACCTCCTCATCTCCACCGCTCCCATGTTTTATTTTGTGTTGCCATAAGTTAGTCTCTCTGCGTTTCTGTGCTGGGCTAATGCTAATAAAACTAATGCTAATAATGCTAATGCGAGGATAATAAAATGGCGGCTTCACAAAACTTTTTGGGAGTTTTACGGGGCGTGGTTTGCAATCCGCCCAGCCAATCAGAAATATAGCTCTTTTCTCACAAGAGAGCCGCACGAAAGTCCCTGCTCTCTAGCAGCTCTCTGCTCTCTAGCGGGGACTCTCGTGGGGGTAAAAAGGTTCTCATGAACTAATTTTAGTACCGGCTCTTTTTGGTGTGAACGCGATAAAAGAGGCTAACGTCCACGCTAGCTTCCACGCTAGCTGCTATATGTTTTGCATTGAGGTGATACTTGAGGCTTGATGTGCTGCGGTGATATGCGAATTCCTTTTTGCATAATTTGCACACAACCGTGCTCTTATCGACGCTTCCATCCGTCCGTTTTTTAAAACAACATTTCCCACTGTTGTTCACTGTGGTTTGTTGTTGTCTGAAGTCATGAACGTTAGTTGGTGCTCCAGTATAATCGGTACGCCTGAAACTCATCCAGTGAGAAACGTTCCGCGGTGCAAAAATAAGTGCGATTAAAATGCGTTAATTTTTTTAACGCGTTAATTTTTGTGTAATTAATTAATCTTAATTAACGCGTTAAAGTCCCGGCCCTAGTTTTTATTATTAAAATGTGTCCCTACTTTTTTATATAACATATATAATATCGACTCTTTTTAATTAATCTGCACTATACTCTTGCAATACCGTACATTTCTCCATTGCGGGACAAATAAAGGATTTCTGATTCTGATTCTTGTGAGTGTGTATGGGAAAATGCAGTACCAGCAGCGATGGCTGCCACCAGCGGCTGCAGGGTGATGGCCCAGGGGTAGTTCCAGGCCCCGATGATGAGCACCACCCCCAGAGGCTCCGGCTGCACGTAGACCTCATCTGATATGGTGAGGAGGTTCTTCTCCACCGGCCGAGGAGCCGCCCACTCTGCCAGCTTCCCTATAGCCAGCTTGATCTCTCCCTCCAGTCCCAGGGTCTCAAACAGCTCCGTCCCATTTGCACTCTGAAAGCAGACGAATCAAGTCCAGAGTTCATTTGTTGTTATCTGTTGTGCTGGAGCTTGTTTAAATTGGTGAACATTATTTATTAAAGGTCAAAAGCTACATGGCAGTAATTACAAGTATTAATTACACGACAAATTGATTTAATTTGGTTAGTGTTATGTGCTCTTTAGCTTGTAATGTTTGTGTATATTACATAACATTGCTCAATTTGATGTGTAAGTGATATATATTGTAAATATTTTCTGTTTAGGGTCTGGTCCCCTAATCTTCGAGTAGCTCAACGGGGTGTCCCATTTCACAAATCCTCACCATGACGTATGATGTTACTTGAATATGTAAATGTTTGTGAATAAAATCAATTGAAAATGAATCTGCTGTTCAATAGAGAATGAAATGTATCTTTGCATTGAATGTTTGAACGATGTTGGATAATGCATCCTGCGGTCCAGTGAGCTGCCAGTATTTAGACACACTGAAAGCTTAAAACTCGTCTCTGTGTACAGTGTGACTTATCCACCCTGCCGAGGTCCTTTTTGACAGCATCTGCTATGTCCCTGCGTCTCTCTGTGATGAAGCGGAGCAGGCTCTTCAGCTGGTGGATCCTGTACTCCAGAGGCTTGCTCTTCCCTGTCTGGAAGGACTTCCTGGCCTGCTGTACAGCCAGCTGTTCCCGGGACATCTTTAATAAAGAATATAAACAGTATGAGGCCCTCACCCTATGCATTCAATTCCATTGAAGCCAACTTTAACTTCCAGGTTGATAAAGACATTTTGACAGTTAAGAAAGCCGAAAGCTAAAAGCTAATTCTACCAGAAGATGACCAATTGATGTTTCAATGGCTAATGTTATGTCACAAAAAGTAATAGCATGACATTTATTTGCTATACAAGTGCATTATGTACATTTCCTTTGCTGATAAACAATAAAACCCTGACAATTAATGTATTATCATAGCTCATACAAGCTATCTGTAATAGGCTACATAGCATAAACATTTAATAACTTTAATACTTAAATTGGTGTGCATTACTTTGTGCAGCCCTACCTTGGTTGGAGCTATCATTGCACTATAAAGCAAACACTAATAATACTCGCTATACTAGATTAACCAGTCACTTTGCTGTAAATGCCAGACTGGCTTAGCTTTTTAGCTAACAGCATAGCATTGCAAAAATATTGTTAAATAGTTAACGCACGCCATAGAAAATAAACGAACATAAATAAGCTTTTAATAGCTATGTAAGCGACACCTTACCTTTTAGTATTAATTGTTGACGATATTAGCCTACTAGTTACAAAGTTATGAGGTCGTGCGTTTGTCGTTAGCTTCAGCCAGACGGCGACAGCAATTGGTTTGAAGGTGTGTCCATCAAGGAAATAACCAATCAGCTTCAAGATAGAACCAGCTGACCGCCATACATCACAATAACAACAACAATGTAGCAGGAAGTGAACAGGCCTTTCTACGGAAGCTATTTCAGCAACTAAGGATTTTTGAAAATCCTGTAGGTCATTATTATGATTTATTATCTCACAATTTTGACTATCTACTTATCATAACTTACATTCAAAGAAATTATCCTGTTTTGCAAAAAGTATCCTAAATATTTGTTAGCGGCTTAATAAAGGCACTGGATAGGAACACAGACAATGTGAGTTGAACAGATACAGATAATGGTGTAGTGTTATCCATACTTGATATACTTATAAATGCAGTCTATGACACTGTTGATGAACCTTATATGTTATACATATGAAGGAAGATATTTGGTAGATTGGGACATTTCATGGAAAACAGACTGGACAGCGGCAACAAATACTAAACGTAGATTATAACAAGACACATGGGTAATGAGTACCTAATTATGACTTTGTTATTCCATAATGTTGGCTAATGTTCTCTAATTATTTGAAAAGATTACAAAAATAAATGGTTTGTGGAAATATTGAAAGCTAATGCAATTCAAGGGGTTGATGAATGAGTTGACTTTAATTGTTAAAAGGACAAAAAGGCTACTTGTTTTTTATATTAATTGTAATCATGTATTTATTATCATTATCTCCATATATATATAAACCTTTTTAACATTTCATCAAAATAGTCAAGCTCGAAAAAATAAAACACAGCAACACTTTTTAATGTATTCTCTTTTTAATAACAAAGACTGTATTTGGGTTCTATAAAGAACAAAGACTGACATCCCTCAGTGAGGGACACGAGTGTAACGTTAACATTTCTCTGGAAAAAAATGGGTGCTTGGAAAGTGTTGCATTTTCAGGGTCATGACTGACGGCAGGTTTCTTCTAAATGCATTCAGATCAAGCTGGAGAGGCGCAAAACAACGGGGTACATACAGAACATTCAAGATTCTAGAGGTTCTAACAGGGTAAAAATGCAGCCGCAGTACCATGCTCCATCTTAAAACAGTCCAATTTCAGTTACAGTCCATGGACACAAATGGTACAGAGCGAAGATTGGGGCGGGTTTCCGTTAGCCTTTGTTGTCCCTCTTCACTCTGTGTGCAGTAAAGGCTTTGTGTGGTTCATGAGTGAGTGCTCATGACGAGAACGAAGGAAACCCAGATATGTCTTTTAAAAAATAAAAATAAAACAGTACATGAGAGAAACAGGCCTAAGGTGCCTGTGAATGCATCTATACACATTTGTACACAGAAAAATAATGTATTCACACCTGTACAGAGGAAGGCACCTCCTTTTCCATCACTAACTGTTTACTACTGGCCTTAATGCACACCTGGCAAGTGTGTCTATATACACTGACTCATACATACTTACAGTACATACACTTTTAGGAGCACAGCAGATGAGGGGAGGCAAAGGGACAGAGCGGATGCTAGGCAGTGCAGATTGTGACAAATCAAGTACAATGTTGGGAAATTTGTTTTTTATTTCAGAAACTTTCCCACTAAGCAAATATGTGTCTTGATATGAACAACAAACAGTCCTGATAGAAAGAGCTGCCACGAGTTAGAGTTTATTCTTTGGCACACCCCTGTTGTGCCAAAAAAGGTTTCTCTTATTAAAAAAACCCCTTGGCAGACATGAATAAAATGTATCAAATTCAGCTATGTACATATAAAGATTTGTGCTCTTTGACTGACAGGCAGGCCATCTGACAGCGTCACCGACACCCCATAAACACACAAGACCCCTCCCGAAAAGAGGGGAAAGGAATCATCACATGCACCACATACAAATATTTACAAGATTGCAAACATCAAGTTGTTAAAAAAAAAATACTACAGATACTGACGGAACATAAAAGCTGTATTCCTTTAGTAAAATTAAACGTATTAAGTCGTCATGTTTATATATATTTTGAACTCCTTTACATTCCTACAAAACGGGGTAACGAGGGAAATACATGTCAATAGTTTTTAGATGTTTTCTTGTTGCGAGTGGAAAATGAACATCCGGTTGATACAAGCCAATCAAAATTCCCCTGCTATGTAATTGTGTGTGAATAATCGTATCAACAACTGCACCTTAATGGTAAAGACTTAAATTGTCTTTCCATGGCTAAAAATAATTTCAAGAGAACATTTATTTGATCTTAAAAGAAGAGCTCTAGGCAATTTGTCTCGTCTAAGATAACCGTTTCCCTGGTTGCTCTGCCTTATGGGAAATGTATGCATTCAGTTAATCAGTAAGTATTGAGGGGTGGGAGCGGGAGCGATCGTTCCCCTGCCTTCACATGTATACCTTCAGATTTTATACTGACACACCTCTCCACAGTAAAGTGCTTGAGCTAAAAACATCTCAAATCTTCAGGTTCCTTTGCTCACACGGCTGTCGTTTTCTGTGAAAACTGTTTGTGTTTCACGTAAAAGTTGTTGGATTTGTTACAGTGATCAGCCATCTGCTTGATTTCCTTCCGCTCCAATACTTGAGGTTATTTCAAAATAGGCAGGAGACTCCATGTTCTTCTGAACCAATAAATAAGAACAATAACAACTTAAACACAGAGTAAATAACAACTGATATCACAGAGTAAGCAGGTTTTTCTTTTTTAAACTGCTCCATGGGGAGTCTCTTGAGGCCGTTTCATAGTCCTGTCCATCCTCTTGTTCTTCTGGTAAAAAACAATGATATCCTGAAAGATGGAAATATGGTTTTTAGATATATTTATGTTGATCAGATGGATTTTTCACCATCATGGCGTAGGAAGAAAAATGCACATGGAGGTGCATGCATTGTGTCCACATCCAGTTTCAGTCTTTAGTTTCTGGATCATCTTTGGTTGTTTTGTGCATCAGTCGCTGGTCACAGCTCAGTCCGTGATGCAGCCAGTGGGAGGATAAATACAGATGAAACTGGCAAATGAAAAGTGCTTGAACTGCTACAGGAGGATCAGGGTCTTTGTGAGGATGGTAGTTACTAGTCTTAGGACGTGGTCCCTGTGTGTGTGTGTGTGTGTGTGTGTGTGTGTGTGTGTGTGTGTGTGTGTGTGTGTGTGTGTGTGTGTGTGTGTGTGTGTGTGTGTGTGTGTGTGTGTGTGTGTGTGTGTGTGTGTGTGTGTGTGTGTGTGTGTGTGTGTGTGTGTGTGTCTACTCGTATAGTGTAACAGTGCAGTAGCAGAGGGCTGAGATCCTGCGGTCCACGCTGGCCTTGTCTGCAGGGAAAATACAAACAATCAATTAAATTACAGTTGTTAACGCAAACATTTCAAGAAGTGACCACAAGAAAATATATTTCAACTGCACCTTCATTCAATCTTTTTTGTGAGAACCGCTAATTTTGAAGTCAAATGTTTTTCCAACGTTAAAAAGAGTCAGATCTGTACATGATTTGTAGATTTGCTGTAGAATTTGTTTGTTATCAACAGAAAAGTTATGAGACACATTTTCAAAATGAATTCCAAATCTCCCTGAGTGAGTGGCTCTTTGTTTACTGTGAACAGAATTAAGTTTCATTTTCTATGGCTAGCTCCCTACTAGCTTTGGTTGCTTTGTACAGCTGCTATCTCATTGTCTGCATGTAATAAGGTTAGCAACCATAAATGTCAAAGTAAAAATAACATTAAAATGTTAGCTAGGCGACAGTTTCCACCGCTCTCCATAAGATAACGATGGCAAAGTGAGATCATAACCGTTCTAAAGCCAATCATGTGAAGCCAGCAATAGATGCCACTTGAACCCAGTCTGTTCATACCATTGATTTCTGCTCGAGGCCCATGTGTAGGAATGTGTGTATCTATGTCCCAGAGATTTTACTCACACTTGACCACGTTCTCAATGTCGGTGGGGTCCTGCAGGATCTTGGACAGGCCGTCCAGCAGCATGGCGGCCTTGCTGTAGCGGTAGGCGATATCTTCGGTCTGCTTGAACATCTCATCCAGAGCCGCAGACTGAACCTGACGCACACACAGCATCACATTATTGTATCAATTAAACTGACAAGAATCAACATGTCTTTTTAATATATTTATGCTTTTGCGTTGTATATCTGGCATTCACCATCTCCACGGCATTATTGTAGATGAGCTTCTCCGCTGTGACGCTGTTGATCTCGTCCATAAAGTGCTGCTTGTCGGAGAAGAAGTGGTTGAGTTTGTCTGTCAGCCGCCGGCAGAGGGAGATGCAGCTTTTGTAACGCTCGTTCAGACTCTTCACCACTGAGAGAAAAAAGAGACATGTTTAGTGTAGGCATTAAACATGTAATATAAATGTTGGTATTGAAGTAGTTGAAAGTAGAAAGTATTGTAATCCTTGATAAACAGATGTTTTAAGGTTTAGGCTGAAGTGATTTATCCCACTCAAAATAAGCGTCCTTGGGAAAAGAGTGTATATGTCTTGTGTTTTACTGTTTTATAGCGAGTAACTGGGATGTGTATGTTTTATTGTTGCTCTCTTGAAACTCTTTAAAAAGTTACTCTCTAGGGTGCTCACACACGAAAGGGCCATGCTTGAAGGAATTAAATATCTCTAAAAAGATTACTATACAAATATTGTGTTTGTATTGCCTCACTCATCACTATCTAGACAGCAACGGATGTTAAGTTACAACAACAGTAATAATGAAATAGACAAAGGTAACATTTAAACAACTCCCTCTGATGAAAAGGGTGAACAGCAGATGCTGCCTCTTTTCTAATTGGATGACATTTCCTTACCCTGTTTGACGGCACTGGAAGGATTGAGCTTGGCTGATTTGATCTGCGCCTTGGCCAGATGCAGAGAGGAAGCCAGGAGCTGAGCCGCCTTCATGTAGAGCACCAACTGCTCCACCTGCCTGAAGGGGGCAGCACAAGCACAGTCAATCAAACACTGCAGCACACCTCCTCCTCAGACTGCATGATATTAGTCTTTATCTGAGATCCTGTCAGACCACACTTTAGGCATTCCTTACCCCCACTCTTTGCTGAGCTGGCTGATCTGGTCTACCACCACGCTGTCCTGGGGGGGGTAGAGCGAGGCGGACGACACGCCGAGCTCCGTCCCTCCGGCTCGCACTGCTGCCATCTCCAGGACGCAGTCCGTGAAGGAGAGCATCATGCGGAGGTACATCAGCGTGTCTGTGTGCTCTCGCTGGACCAGACAAAGAGTAAATGTCAAACAGGAAAGACTACATTAAAAGACTGTACCAGTGAGTCATGAAGCTGTCCTAGGCCTCATTTCAACCGCCAACTCTACTCAACTTGACTCTTTTTTGATTTATTTTGGAATTTTCACTGGCGTTTTACAGAAGGTCCTGCACTGACCAGTCATACCAAATTAGCCAAACTGACCAATAAGGATCACATTATTTTTGAACACTTGACCCTTGTTTCAATTAAATGGCATCCTGTTTGTACAACAGACATTCCTCTGTTCGGTGATGAAAACGATGTCTTTACAGAATCAGAATACTTTATTTATACTGGGGGAAACTCGGCCGAATATAGGCTGCTATATAGAGTGGAAAAAGAAAATCAAGATAAAGGACCTGGTACCAAAAGTGAATCAAGTCGAGCAGGTCCTTACTGGTTAATTATCCTGTTAAGTGATGATTAAAAGACTCCAAACACTTCCTCACCTCCATCAGAGTCTCCTCGGGCAGCTCAGGGGCTTCGAATGTGATGAACCCCTCCAAGCTGGGGGGGGAGGTCCCATAGGGAACGTAGCGCAGGCTGCTGGGTGCCCCATCACTCCCGTGAGCAACCTGACTCACCCCGAAACCCCCTGGAGGAGAGCAGCCCATGGCCATGCCGGGGGGAGACCCCACATACACCCGACCGCTGGTGGAGCACAGGGAGCCGCCAGAACTGTTGGAGCCCACTGACGGGAGAGGGGGGGGGGTCATAGATCAATACTAACTAAAAACTAAAAACATGTTGTTGCTGGGAACAGCCTATTTGCTCAGGGTCCGGGTGCTCACCTGAGGTGGTGCGGGGTCGTGTGCCCATGTGGCTGCAGGTGGGCGGAGTGCTGCTGTTGGGCGGTGAACCCACGGTGAAGAGGACGGTACGGGGGCTCGCTGACATACCCTGAACCAGCCCACTGGGACCTGCAGGGGCTTTAGGAAGAGGAAATGGGTTTAATACTATATCATACACTGTCAAAAATGAGACTCTGTATAAGGAAGTAGGGCTGTACCCGAATATTCGACTATTCGTTCGTTGGCCAACTATTCGGGTTTTAATTTCATTATTCGGATATTCGTTTTTGTTTAATTATTTTTTTTTTTCCTAAATGTATGCTATCGATAAAGGCGAATTGCCATATTCTTATACTATATTTATACTTTTGAATTGCACTGTTAAAATGCGGAAATATATACAATCTCAGCCTGTGCTCCTGACATCGCGTTCACTCAGTCACGAACGCAAACGGCACGCTTCACCTCGCTTCACCTCGCTTCACCTCGTTTCACACACCTGAACACAAAATGCCGAAGACTCCGGCTGTGTGGGACCATTTTAAATTGGACGACGGTAAGAAGAAGGCAGTGTGCCAAATATGCGACAAGAAACTGGCTGCTGTAAGTACTAGCCTAGCCTAGCTTAGCTTAGCTGTTGTCAAGTTGCCATGATGAAGCTGCTTTATCCGCCGTTTAAACAGTAACGTTACACATGATAAAATCGTGCACTTGCTTTGCTTGGAAAATAGTTGCAAGCAAGCAACCGAATTGTTTTTTTATATTAGTTTTTCAATTTTATCCGAATAGTGAAAATAATAGGAGCAATGTGGGAACATCTGGGGCTAAGGCAATTATTGGCATACAGTTCGTTCATTTATTTGCGTTCTTCATTTATTTAAATACTGTTTACTGTATCGGTAACAAGTGTTACCTGTTAGGCCTACTGTTACGGCTGTTATTAAAAGTATTGTTGTTATAACAGAAATATGTGTTTTGTATCTTCAGGTTGTAAAACGTTACAGACGGAATTTGGAACCAGATTTGGTCCCCGGGCGCTGCGCTGCGGCTGGGTTAAATGCAGAGGACACATTTAGTTTTAATGTATGCGAGTACTGAGACAATAAATAAATATAAATCGTAATAGTATGCTCTCTTTCTGCGCTTCTGCTTAACAGTGTGTTGTCAGGTGTCTCCGAGCGTGTTATGATATTTTTTTGAAAAAAAAAATGTTTATTAAAAAAAACAAAAAATCTCTCCGCACCGAATATTCGCTGCTGATTACTACCGAATATCCGGAGCCCGAAAAATGGTATTCGGGACAGCCCTATAAGGAAGCATTAAGTATCAGGTAAGTTATCATTCTGGCATGTTTAAATATAACTTTATATACTTTTATAAGGAAAAATACAGACTAACAAGACATTCATAACCCCCTATATTGGCCATGTGCAGACAGCAGTGTTCTCATACCTGTGTCCATGGGTCGCTCTGTGTTCAGGCTGTCATTGCTGCCCTGATAGGCCTGTCCCCCCAGAGTGATTCTGATTTGCTGCTCAGACAGACGACCTGTACTAACGGACCTGCAGAGAAAACACAAACAACATCAGCACAATGTCAAACAGTGACGTCACGCGGCACCACACAAGTGCCCTTTCCTCCAAAAACATGCAAAAGACTTATTTATTTAAAATAGCACATTTGTCCTCTACACATCTTCTTCTAGCACTTTCATCTGTTTGCAGCCCACATATTTACATATTATTACATACACAGTATTGTATTCAACTGTACAGTATATAGTTTTGTATTTATTTTGATCATATTCTGTTTAAAAGGTACGTAGTTTACTTATTCCTAAATGTTACTTACTGTTTTTGGTTATTTTGGATGTTGCACTTTCGGTGCCAACAATTACACTGTAGCTATTTTGAATATAACAATAAAACCGTTGAATCTTAAATATGAATGTCTTCATTTTTATGCAAATACAACAATTTAGAGGCAGTCAATGTTAGAAACAGAAGTATGTTTTGCCTGCCAAGCAATGAATCTGGTACAAAACTGTGAAGGTGCCTTGGTGGTACGATACTACTGATGGCAAAGAATAGCAAAGGAACATCCATATCAACAATAAACGATAATGACCATCAATGTACGTTGGAAAGATGGAATGGGGTAACAAAAGGAAACAGGGTAGTGAAGGAAACGGTCCAGGAGTCCTACCTGCCAAAGGTCCTGCTGGCCTCGGGGGCCGCGGGGCGTCCGGAGAGGTACGGGTTGCAGTGGTGGGCACACATTTCCCGAGCATCTGCCAACGTCTTGGTGGGCACGGGGCTGTCCGCCAGCGCCATCAGATTACAAGACGCTTGCGTTTTGGGAATCTTGAACGGGGCCGATATGGTCTGAAAGGTACAAAATAAACAGGGAAACTTAAAAAACGGAATGTATTTGGTGCTGATCTTTTAATCACTTAAAATCTGTACTCACTTTAGTGGGAGAGCCGATGATGGTGGGCAGCGGGGACTTCTGCAGCCAGTCGGACGTGCGGGGGGAGGTGCCCAGGAGCTTTGTGGGGGAGGAGCCAAGGTTGGCCGGGCGGCCGAACTGAGGGGAATGACTGAAGGAGGAAGAGGAGGCGGAGGAGGAAGGCTGAACCGGGTCTGATAACTGCTTGTGGAGCTTCTGCCTGGTCTGGTAGACCTCAGTCAGGGTGGGGGCACTCTGGAGCCGGGCCCCCAGTAGCTGAGAGGACGGGACGGGGGAACCTGGAGAAGTGGATTAGAGGTCAGTTTAAGGAAATGGACCATTAAGCGTAGTGTATTAAAAAACCTGTATAGATCTGATTTCAACTGATCACAGAAAATGTGACATTAGGGAGTCATAACTAAATCAATTGTCCCTCAGCTCTGAGTAAAAGAAAAACAGCAGGGAGTGATGCTACTGGTGACACTTTGAATGAGCGCTGTGCGTCACACCAGTCAAAGAACAACCGTCCTGAGACTGTCCAAAGACACTGTTTGTATTTAAGTCTGCTTGTTTTTACTGTATGTCTTTTCAAAATAGGGGCCAAAGTCTGGCTTTATTTCAGACAGTACACTTTCCTCATAATAAAGCGGTCACCATGACAGCAAAGGTCCTGACACAAACAGTGAAGGAGTTCCAAGACGTGACATCTGTAGTGTTTTTATATCATGACTTTTAAAAAGACCTTGACCCAAGGAATTATAACGTTATGACACAGATGAGATAACAAGGCAACAACTGCAGTTAAGTTCGTTACTACCTTTTTGAATGCCAATGCATATCATATTATACTGTGTGGCCTTATCTCATTGAACGGTTACCTATCATTTGTATCATTGGATCTATATGGTTCATTTTATATTACATTATTACAATACATTTAGCCGACCAAAAAAAGCCATCATTCTGTAAGTACATTAGCTTTCAATCAGCCTAATCATTGCTACATAGAGAAGAACGTATTTTTTTAGCCTGCAAATGAAGATGTGTATACCTTCTATTGTTCTGATTATTAAACGGGGAGCTTGCTAGCTAGCCGATTAGCCAATGCAGAGTGAAGGGCAGATGCTGGAGTGTATGGTTTGACTATGTCCTGGATGTCCTTACCAGAGAAATTGTTGTTTTGCTTGACCTTGCATTTGATAAGATCCATTTGAAATTTTTATTTGATCTGATTTCTATTGGCTGTTTCAGCAACCCACATCCCATGTAAATGCTTAGACACACAGTTGGGTTTAATGTGGATGTGGGTGAAGCAGGTGACCAGGCTGTAGTGTTGCCTGTAAACTGACCTCCTGAGGAGCTGCGGCTGCGGGGCTCGTGGCTCTGCATGTGACAGCAGCAGTGGCCCAGCTGCTCGGGGATGGTGCCCACTGCGAACACAAACACATAATTTTCACTGGGAGCTTCTGGACACGTCCAACACATGTCTGGAAGGTGTTATTCAAAAGTTGAGACATATCCAGACGTGTCCTTACCCAGAGGTGAGGGAGAGTAGGGCCGGGAGCTGCCGGTGGAGAGACGCCTGCTGACGGTCTGAGGGACGTCCGCCGAGCTGGGGGACCCCGAGGCCACCTTGGGAAACCCCATAGGACTAGTGTTGGAGCGCCTCACTGTGCCGGACCTAAATCAAACACAAAAAACATTAAGTATGTATGCAGACTTCTAAAAGGTGCAACATTCATTCAGTTTTCAGACCTATGAGTACATGATCAGTCTAGATCAGGGGTCCCCAACCTTTTTTAGGATGAGTGCTACTTTCAAAAAATAAAACAAGTCCGGGCTACTTTTACTCCTCTTTTATATATTTAGCACATTTTAACATTATTATATGCATACCGTGTGCTGTTCGTGGGACCAGTTTGCAGTGTTTACTAAAAGAACATGTATTCAATTTAATTATTTTAACCTGCTTTATTTGGGGGTGGACCTCACCTCCTCTAGGGGGGTCCGGGGGCATGCACCCCTGGGAAGATTTTTTTTTTTTAAATGTTGAAGTGAAATGCATCAATCTGCACTTTGAGCACAAAAGGAATTTATGGATACAGCTCTCAACACTCATGAAAGGGAGCTGTATACTTTTCAATAATCCAAACATCTTTAGAATATGATCACAACCAATAACAAATCATTTAAACTGGTTTATTCTTATCTTATGTTACCTAGTTAGCATTCTTTCTTTCTATTTATGCATATTTTACTAATCACTCCCCTTTTAAACGGTATTTTTTTTTTACTGTCCTATAGTACACATTGGAATGATTTCTTAATTTATATTAAATAGATAAAGATGTGCTCTCTCTCTCTCTCTCTCTCTCGCTCTCTCGCTCTCTCGCTCACTCACAGAGGCTGTGTGCTCCTCCGTGGCGATGACAGCTTGCGTTAAAAAATAATAATAAACATATTTGTAAAGTGGGGGGACACAAACGGGATTTCGAAAAGTGCAGGGGACATTTCCCCCCTGTCCCCAGTGGAAATTACGCCGTGTGTGCGTCAAGTGCAATAAATATATATGCAAGTTGCAACACACACACACACACACACAGAGTAAAACTCTGGCCATCATGTGCAATATCGGCTGGCATGATAGGCTGTTCAATGGAGCTGCTGTGTTGTGTAGATTCTGCCAGAAGGAAAATCACGGTCAAACTCCTTATGAAGTGTGCGGTGAGGTGCCGCTCCACATTGCTTTTCTTCCCAACTGCGGTCGATATTCATTGTGGGGGTGGGGGGAGGAGGGGTGTTAGATAGATATAGAGTTGTAGTAAGTAGATAGAGTTCGCTATGATTGAGGTTTCGTTTATGCATAGGGTAGATTATTTTTACATTTTGGATTTGCTTGGCGAGCTATTTTTAGAACATGCCCCGCGGGCGACTCACGTTGCCCCTGCGGGCGACTCAAGTTGCCCCTGCGGGCGACTCCCGTTGCCCCTGCGGGCGACTAAGTGCCCTCGGGCACCGTGTTGGCTACCCCTGGTCTAGATGAACGCTAGAGGAATCCAAACAGTTAGGTAAGAAACACTTGACTACAATTATTGGCTTCTCTCTTTAATTGCAGCCAATTTTGCCAGCTTGTAAATACTTGTGTAGCTGTTGAGACAAATCACTACTGTTGCAAGCACACAATACAGATATTGTCTTGGAGCAATATTTTTTGTAGGGAGCTCATGTAAATATTCAAATACACAATATGCATACAACATATTTGGTAAATAGCTAATCAAATGCAGAGAGAACAACTGCGTAAGGTTCAGATTTTTGGTAAACAAACAAAAGTGGAAAGAACACAAAGAAAGTTTCCCCAAGGTGTAATAAAAGTATGGTAAAAACCTTCTTTTCGCATTCAAAACTAAGGGCCATTTTAAATATGTTACATGCATTGTTTACAACCATGTCTGAAAGATAGTGGTCTTCCCTTTGTTGGGACATTACCATTTTTTGTGTCAACCTTGTATGATTGTGCAAGACAAAGAAAGAAATGGGGACCCACTAGTTAATGAGAAGTGATTCGAAGTAGCCAACAAAAATAACAAAACATTGCTCCTTAGTGTTCAAAGTGGTCAAGGATTCTACAGGGCACCTTAAAGTAGTCCCATAAACAGACACATATATTAAGTTAACATGACATGTTAGACATTAAAGAAACTGCTGGTTCAGAAAGGCCAAAATGTATTAGTAACCTAAATGTTAACATTTTAAGAGCTCATTTTAAGAGCTCAATGGAAGTAACCCCACTTCATACTTTCCTAATACTGTGTCAGCAAATGACAATGCAAACAAACCACTAGATGACCACGAGCCCTCACAGAAACCTTTAAACTGCTGCACATTAGCAACACATTAGCAACACACAACAGGTGATTAACGTCTTAAGTACCCCCAGTGTTCTCCCTTTCAGGAACAACAAGACTAATCTTCCTCTGCACTCCCCTCTGCTTTGTTTCCACATAAATCCTCCCAGCAACAGGTCGGATGACACAGAGTGGAGTTATGAGGTCATGTCAGTGAAAGCTAACAGCTGATGAAACAACAGCCTGGGTTTGCATCAACTAATACTGAGTAAAACATTAGTTAGAGGCTGATTTCAGGTAACAAACACTTCCTCACACCCAGCAGAGGAGGCTCTTACCTGGGGGAGCTGTACAGCGTGGTGGTCGGGCTGCTGGAGAGGTTCTGCTTGATGCGCTGGTAGTTCCGGATCTGCGTGGGAACAGGGATGGGGGTGGTCTCAGCCCGTGGGGACACCATAGGGGTCTGTCCAGGGGCTGGTTGCGGCTGCCTGTTGGGGAAGAACGGGGAGAAGGGGGCAGTTAGCCAGTCTGCTCGATGCTGCTGCTGCTTCCATAACTCCAGGACATCTTCAGGGGGGTCAACACCCATAATAAGTTAAATATCCAAAGGTTTATAAAGTAGGACAACTCTAAAATGTTCTTTCTACTGCTTCATGTTTACTTCAGAGTGGAGTCAGGTTGAGGAACTTAAGTTTAGCCTGGCGGATCATCTGATGAAAAAAAAGAAAGGGGGCCAGGCTTCCATGTAAACAGAAAGGGCAGCCCCAATCAGCTTCGAGCTCTTGCTGCTGGGGGCGTGGCTAGAGGCAGGGCCGGCCAATGGCACGTGTAAGGCCGGTTCTCTGATATAAGCACAGACACAGCTGGGGGAGTGCAAGAAGCCACAGCTCATTTGCATTCTTTTGTTATTCCACGGGAGACAAAATGTTCTTGAGCATACAGAATGCAACAAAAAAAAAGGAGGAGTAGGGGGAAATGGGCCTTTAAGAGTGCGACACCAATTGGAAACCAGTGTTATGTAATGATGTGGAGACTGGGAGGGTCTACGAGAGGGTGAGCAGGAGGACACGTGAGGCAGAGACTAGTCCAGACAAAGAACCAGAGACTCTGTTGGATTGTATTTATTCTGAGATACAAGCATTATTCTGAGATACAAGCATTTGATACAGTAACCCATGAAGGTATTTTGTATTCAGATGCCTAAAAGTTTTACTACCCAGACAGGGCTTAATGTGGAGAGGACTGTAGTGTGCAGTCCTTGTTAAAAAGGGAGAGATAAAGAGAATTTGTAGGTCACTGAACCGCTGCTTTTAAGAGTGGCAAGAGGAGAGAGACTGCATCTGAAGTCAGTTGCCTCTCTGACCTGGTTTCTGCCTCAGAGAGGGGGATGGCATCAAACAAAGCCAGCCTTTCTTCATCATCATGTCTCTTCTTCCTCAACTCAAATCAATTTAGTACCCACAAGGCACAGACGATAAACAAGGCTTTGATTTAGTAAGTCTTTGTGAGTATGTTACTAAATTGCAAGGGGCAACTACGGTCATGAAGATAAAATGTGTTTTTCCCGTGTCAATGTTTAACTAATTGATGTAAGCAGTACAGAGTTATTGCTAGGGAGAAAAGTGTTACAGGACAGCATAGGGAGGGGATAAAGCTGCTGCATGGACGGTTGGAGGATGACACAGAATGGCAACAAAAACAGAGCTTAGAAAAAAGGGAACAGAGAGAGAGAAGAGAACGGTTTGGCTCGAGGCTGTTGACACATGCAAACAGGAAAGCAGGGAGATAGAAGAAGTAACTGCAGGTTGTTATAAAAGGGAGAAAGAACAAGAACAAAGAGAGACAGGCAGTAGCAGGAGTTAAGGGAGCAGAATATGTGTATAAAACGTTTTAAAGAGGCCCCATTATGTTTTGGGTTTCCCCTTGCCTGTTTCTAAACAGGTACTTTTAATGTTTTAAACTTATAAACTTACTTTTTGATATTGCTGCTACTTTTTACTTATTAACATGGATGTATAGTTATTTGTATTTTCTTTTCTTAACATGTGCTTGCCTTTTTTATGATATGTTAATCTACTCATCTTATTATTGCAGTTTAGCAGCACTGTCCCACTGCGGGTAAAAAAGATTTTATGGGATATTGGGAATAAGTAAAGAAAATTAGCAACAGACAGCATTAGTTCTCAAGGTTTCATAGAGAGGCGAAGTCCCGCCCTTCTACTTCCGCCCCATGGGATCTTATTTCGGAAAAATAATGTATTGAAGTCAATGGGGACTCAGAGAGAAAGATTATCTTTCGATCCCGTTTGAATTGTGCCACGAATTACACATATGATGTTTGTCAATCTTAAAAAATCATTTCCATGTAAAAAAAGTCACAGTTTGTCTTAAAACTGTTGAAATATAAGACTATGAAAAATACGCAACTAGAAAGACTACAAATCCCAGTAAGTGATGTCATTAACGTTACACATTACACCCGTGTTACTCACCAAAACTTTGTAAAGCCGGTCCCGCTCTTACGGAACCGACTAACTCCCCTTGTGTGTATGTACAGTTCTCAACATGCCCAGACTTGTAGTGATTTTCACCTCTTTTAATACTTTTCGCTTAATTCTGAAAGAAAGAGGTGAAATGTGCTAACGTGACGGCCATCTTGGTGTTGGTGACGTGTGCAAGACCAGAGATGTAGTTCATTGAGCGCTTCACACAAAAAAATGTGTTACTTTACAGTTTTACGACACATTTTTATTTTTTTGACTTGCAAAATTATCTTTTAAAATTGACAAACATCATATGTGTAATTCGTGGCACAATTCAAACGGGATTGAAAGATAATCGCCATTGACTTCAATACATAATCTTTCCGAAATAAGGTCCCATGGAGGACCCCGGAAGGGGAGGGACTTTGCCTCTCTATAGACGGAAATATGTGTTTAATTATTTTATTTTGACCTGAAACTAGAGTATTTTTTAAATAAAAGCTTCCCTGATGAGATATAGCTAGTGGAAGGTAGAAAAGGGTCAAATATCAGGGAATAACTGCTAGACAGGAGAATGATGAATATAAGTGGTTAATTCAATAACATGGATGTAAACCTGAAGAAAAAGGACGGTAACATTGAGAGCAGAGTGTGTTAGCAGTACATGTAAGCGTGTTATGATCTTTTAAGTACACAGGCCCAGTAATAACACAGTTTGTCAAAGCAGCAGATTTGGGCAGTGTGCATGTCTATTCTTATCACACAGCCCTCGTGGGTCGGTGCTTTATTTAGCGCAGAACCACCTTGTTGTTTGGCTCAATGATTCACATCTCACTCACCATGCACATTAGGAGGTGTGCAGGATAATTCACTCTTGACAAATGGACGGTGTGTGTGTGTGTGTGTGATATGTGGTGTTAAGCTGCAGTTGGTCAGAGAGACAAAAATAGGGAAGTGAATTAACAAAGGAGGCCTCACTGAAATAAAAACATGCAAACAATAGATGTTATGACCTTCCACACATGCACATGAAATCAAGGCTGTGTGTGAATCTGCATCATGTCACACTTCAATCTGCAGCATTCATTAAGGCTTTGCAGACCCTTGTAATGCTATTTATTATATGACTAATGTATTACCAGAATAAACCAACAAATACATGTTACATTTGTTGTTAACACAAGCCCCCTATAAAATTGCTAAACAAATTTATAAACTTTTGTACGGATTAAATTCAGGAGATGTTAATAGGCAGATTTAGTTTAATTTGGACACAGTCAAAGTGCGTGTTTCCCTGTATTTCCAGTCGTTATGCAAAGTTACTGTTGAGGGTATAACACCTATAATTCTATTTTTTTTATGTGTGCATTAATATCTGTTATAGCTTTATGACTTTGGGAATCAGTATTCCTGTCGAGATTTTGTTTCTCTTCATATAACTTTTCCTCTTTCCTTTTGACTTTTCTGAGTCAAAGTCAGAATTAGGAGAAAAAAATTATTCTTACATTTTTTACAAAAATTCACTTTTGGTCAGATCTAAAATAAATGTCACATATCCCTAATCCTCTTGCATAGGTTCACAATGCATGCACGATACATTTTTGTGTGTTTTTAATAACATATTTTGGTACAATATCCAAACCAGTTTGGAAGAACGCATCTTACTCACCCCCACTCACTGGACAGTCGACGACCCGCTCCCATTGGCTGGTCGTCTGAGGAGGGAGAAAGAAAGAAAGACAAAAATTATAAAGAGGCAGCAGGCTTTACTGATGTATGAATCAACAGTAATCAGGTGATTACATGACTACACTGTGTTCATTGTTTGAGGGGTGGACTAGCAGGTGGGTGTGGGTGTGTGTGTGTGTGTTCATTTTACCAGTCAAAAGGGTAAGGGTGCGTACCTTCTGTTTACAGACTGATGTCTACGATTACAGCATGAAATGGTTAGCAGGTGTTTAACGTAATGGCGGTGGATTTGGTGACATGTGTTGCTTGAGTGTGTTTGAGTGTGTGTGTGCGCGCTGTAGGTATTATTGGCAGGTAATGAATCTGACCTCACATTACATATACTTCCAAGACATCTGCGTGCTTGTGCAGAACAGATGTCCATTTACTTCCGAGTCCATCTGTCAAGTGTACATTGTACTGTATGTACAGTGGAGAGGGTGAACATAACACTGATTGTGAAAGAACATTTCCCAGGTCAGATGATTTCAAACTGTATAACTACCAATAAGTTGCTTTACTTGACGACATACTAACAACAAATCGAATTACAAAAACAAAACACATTTTTAACCAATCAAATGGAAGTATTTTCAGATACTGGTTGGTTGAGTTAGCTGTCCCTATTCTCCACAACCTCAAATAAAGCATTGAGTTTAAAATATGACTATTTTCCGACATTTAATCCTTGTCCCCTCCCATCCCTTCTTCCTCATGTCTCAGGTCCAGGACTATATATTTAGTTGGGGAGCACTGATAAACTTAATAAATATCATGTTTTATTCTTATTTTCAATACATTCTTTTGTTTTGGTATGAAAAGGTAATAAGTTATATGGGAGGCACAAGTATTCTCTGTAAGGAAAGGTCTTTGTGTTGTGAAAAGTTATGATATATATATTCATGTTGTGATACACTAAGGATCAACAATACATTGACCAATTATTCCTAAACATTTAATCAAAATGGCTATAATAAGGTTAGATTCTGCAAACTGTCTTTTATATTTTCTTGCTGTAAGTATCTTGCTGTGAAAATAATACGCAATTATTTTTGCAATAACCCCCAGCTCGACAGGTAATATATTTGCATTCTCCACAAGCAAAGTGAGGTTAGCCAAAGACTTGATCTCCTTTTGGTATAATCAGGTGAGTTACAGAACACACAGTAGGGTACAGAATGTGCGTGCACTCACAGCTGTCAGTGGAGATGTGAGGCACCAGCACAAAGTCGTCAGTATCGGAGGACGAGTTCTTGCTGCTGGTGCTTCCTGCAGACTCTTTGGAAAGCTGCAGGAAGTTGGGCGGACCGAGCGGAGGGGACGACAGACCGTCTTCTGCTAGAGTCTGCATGTCCGGGAGAGACTGTGAGAGAGAGGGAGGGAGGGAGGGCGAGAGAAAGAGGATTAAGTTGTAATGTGCCTCCTGAATGATGCAATTAAAGCTGTCAAACTTAAAGTGGACCTATCATGCTATATTGGAAACATATATTGTAGGGCCATACCTATACAAAACATGTCCGTGAAGTTTTTTTGCTTAAAATACCAAACAGATCACCCATTGTAGCCATGCCTCATACTGCTCATACCCCTCTTTTGCAGCCCTGTTAGAGAAACGCGGATGTTGGGTCCTTAGCTTGAAATAAATAAAAGAGGAGGCGGAGCTAATGCCTGATCAGAATTCTACCGGAGAGAAAGTTCAATTCTGCTGTGATAAAACGTCATGTTCTAAACCACATTATTGATTATTTCTGAAATAGTATGGAGCTCAAATGCTTTTTCTCTTGCGGGTTTATCACAAGGTTGTGTTCAGCAGGGGTTCCCAACCTTTATTGTGCCAAGAATACATAAAAAAAAAAAAAAACGGACCGGTTGTCAATTTTAAACTGATTTTAATATTTACTCACCAGCAGGTAGCAACAGAGGCTAATTGTATGTAACAGCCTGAACAAATACTATTTTTTATGTTTTGGATAAAATAATGACCGGTATAGGTGCGAAAATTAAAAAAATTATTCTGAAAAGATATTTTTATATATTTATAATTCTGCAAATATTATGATAAACTCACAGCTATTTGGCGGCCCGGCAGTAACACCTCCCCCCCTGCTCTACAGTACAGGTTAGCTCTGAGACCCAATTTACACGGGAACGTTTGCGTTACGCACAGAATTAGTTTTTTTTTAAAAAGTCTTCCGTTCTCACGCATTCGGCTCATTTAACGTGTCCGTTCACACGAGACCACTGGAAACGCTGTAGTACATATGCCGGGCCTGTAAGTGGCGCTGTACTTCCGCACGAGACCGCTCGAAAGCGCTGGAGACGCTATAGTACATATGCTGGGCCTGTAAGTCGCGTAGTAACTTCCGCCACAAAATGCACCAAAAGCAGCGAAGAAGACCCCCGAGCATGGTTGCCATGGTTGCCCTTCTGTTTATGCTCCGCGGTGGATTTAGCAACATGTAGTTCATGTAATTCTCCATGTCCACTTGTTGCTGATGGTTGTGGTAGAGGAGCTGTAGATTGTGCACTAACATCTGTAGCATGGTCGAGCTGTAGATTTTGCACTAACATCTGTAGCATGGTCAGTAGCAGTAGCTACTGACAGCAGTGAGCAGCAGAGGTGGGGAGAAGTGGGGCTATGGCTTCATCGTTATCAGGAAATGATCGTATAGGGCGTAAACACTGAGCCGTTTGGTCCCCCCGAGCATTCCGGTTGCAGATCTATCCACCTTGGGACCCGTTATTGTTTGCGGGGTCCTTTTCCGCGTTTCCGTTACGGCCTCGTGTGAACGAACGGGCTATACGCGAGAGAAAAGTAGCAGATACAACCCGTTTTGTTCTCGTGTAAACACCGCCTTAGCGAGGCTTGCTAATGTAAACAAAGACGAGATTACGTCCAAAACACGTCAGGCATTGATAGCAACTTTCTGTGGGTCCGCCACCGATTTGACGTCATATCGGCAGCAAATCTGTATCCGCTCATTGTAACCCCGTTTTTAAAAGATTTGGGTACGGAGGAAAAGAGAAAGGGTTTTATTTTCTGATGCTGCGTGAGTTCCCGGACACCCCGGGGCGTGGACACATATAAAAAATATCAAAAAGTGCATTTTGCATGATAGGTCCCCTTTAAGTAATCACATTAGTCCAGAGAACACTGACATCCTGGGAAATGACTTGCCCTCCGTTCCCACTGCTGCTGTGAGATAAACCTGTCCATCAAGCATAGGAATTGTTATAACATGCAATAGACTTCAACGTAGGAGAAGCTGCAACACTTAAACTAGAGGTATAGAGTTTTGAAGTGATTACATATTTTTGTAGGCCAACGTGGAAGTTAGCATCGCAAGGCTTGCTTGACAAAAAAGCATTTGACCATTGAATTTAAGATTATTGCAGAAAATACGATGTGTGGCAAACACATTTTTATGATACTTACACATTTTGGGAGGATAATCTCACACCACTTTTATTATAGTTTATAAAAGTGTATCTGGAATCCAGAGGTAAAAAGCTAAGGTAATACTATAGAAAAAATACATGACCATCTGATGACTAGACATCACCACTGCTAAGCTAAAAGCAGCTAATGTTAAATGCATTTCGTACTCTACCGCTGTTTTAAAGACACATTATGAAGTTTCAGAAATCTCAAGTGGAGCAATAACTGATGTACTTTGTGTCGTAGAATAAATGAAAGTGAAAATCTTGCAAGTCTAACCACAGACTTGATTTTTGGAATCTAACCAAAAAACATTAATTTCGAGATGAGGGAAGCTAGAGGTGCTAAAATGCGTACTCATTTACGGGTTTAGGATTTATTATTGCACCACTCTATTGACAATAGTGGAACAGCAGGGACATTTTTATGGAAATTAGGTTAAATAGGTTTTAGGCTCACTTGTCCGGCATTGTTAAAACATTTGAAGAACACACTTCAAGCCTCTGCATTTAACCCATTATGGTATAAGCAGCACCAGGCAGCTGCAATTCAGCACTCAGTGAGCAGTTTGGTGATATGGTGCATTGCTCAGGAGGAGCACCTTGGCCGAGCCCAAAAGGTGAACTACCACATGAAGCAAGCCGGCACAATAGGAGGCTTAGTTACTATTTTATAACAGTGTCATTAAATCACCTTGACATGAGGATTTATCAAGTAATATCAAACTCACAGGAGGGGAGTTGTAGCGGATGCATGGGGAGCTGCCACAGGAGCTGTCCGTTGCTGCGTTGGAGGTGCTAGGCACCGGCACCGGACACGCTGAGGGGGAATAAACAAAACCAATTAATCAAGTCATAAAGTTGGATAATGTAAACTTGAAGTACAGTGGTGTTGTTTGGGGAATGTGCCCTTTGTGCTTACATTTTTTTATGGTGACTATTGGCACCAGGAAAGGATGGCTGAAGAAGGCGTCTGCAGAGTGAGGGGGTTAGAGGGACAGTTTAGAGAACACACATCGAGACAGAGATTATATACATTTAACAGAGATGCATTTAACACTTCATGTTTAATTACTACTGACCAAAGTCCATCCTGTCTTTCTGGTTCCTCTGAAGCAGCCCAAGCAGAAGGTGGCCAAGTTGTTGGGAGGTCTCCCTTGGGATGCTGGGTTATGAGAGCATAAATACATTAATATGATGGCTCTTATTGGGTGCATAAAGATCTCCCCAGTAAAGTGGCTCTGTGAGGCTGCACTGAGAATCAGGGGAAGCTATGCTTAATGTTAGTCACAGGCTAAAATGCTAATAATGACAATGCTAACATGCTAATGCTAGAATTTGACATACTCTCCATCTTAGCATGCTAACAGTTGCTAATGGCTTTGTGAGTCTTTACTGAGACACAGGAAAGCTATGCTAAATGTTAACCTCAGGCTAACATGCTAATAATGACAATGCTAACTTGTCTTATGGTAGTATATGCCATACTCTCCATCTTAGCATGCTAACAGTTGCTATTAAGCAATTCACACAGGTACAGCTAATGGGAATGTCATAAAGATTATAGGTATTTAGTCATAAACAAAGTATTGGACAAAAAAGTATGCCCTGGTGAAATGTCAGAGTCCCTAAAAGAATAACAATTCATCCCAAGCATAGTTTTGTTTTTGAGATCCAGTATTTTAATCTGGTTCAAAGAGCCATACGACGACTGTAGCTACGGACTGCAGACGCTAGCAGAGAAATGTCCTCCATCTGCACCAGTCTTTAAAATGTTACTTTAAATCTGGAACAGCCCAAATCCCTCACTTAGACAGAGCTTTTAAACAAAAGACAATAAGTTATCAAGCTTACATAGGTTGTGGATTCTTGTTCTTCTCGTAAAACATCCTCAGGTCTTGGGGACTATTAGCCTGAAAATATGATATATATATATATATATATATATATATTAGAGATTCACAGAAAAACGTACACAATAACATATTTGTTGTGAACAGTATTAACCTGGAATGGTGGCTTGCCGACCAGACATTGGTAGATGACAGTCCCTATGCTCCACAGGTCGGCCTTGGCATCGTAGTTCTGGGACATGATGACCTCTGGGGCCTGAGGGAGCAAAGGTGACATTAAAGCACATGTGGAGTTATGCAACATGCAGAGAACGCTGACAGGGCTATTTTTAAAAAGGGGACTGACCTAAGCAGCAGACAAACACAAAACATATCAAATAAAAACACACTGACCATGTACATGGGTGATCCACACAGCGTGGCTGCCATCATGTTGTTCTGGAGGTACCGTGCAAAGCCAAAGTCAGCTGCAAAACAGCAAACAAATCAATCAGAACACACACAAGTGTTGTTATTATTAGTAACAAAAAACACTATTGTTGGATACTGGAGAATGCCTGTGTGACAAGCAGGGAACAGTAACACATACGTAATTTTTTTACTTTAAAGACGCCCTATTATGCTTTTTGGGGGTTTTCTCTTTCCTGTAGTGTTTTATAGGTTTGTGTGCATGTAAATGGTCTGCAAAGGCTAAAATCCATGTGTTCCCTCCAGAGGGAATTTCTCTCTCACACACTCCCCCACTGGCTGAAACGCCTTCATTGTACTCCTTTGTTTCTTACTGATAATAATGACATCACTATGTAACACTTGTGCTTCTATTGGTTAGCGCTCTAACACATTGTAAGTGATAGGCTAAGGGGCGGGACATCTCTAAGTTGTTAACCAATCATAATAGAGCCGGCCAATTAACCAATCAGAGCAGACTGAGCTCTGGTTTCATCTATTTATGAGATGAAAGATAATGGGTGTTTAAAGCATAGTAGCTTTCTGTTTGATGGTAAAAAGATTGAAACAAATTTTTTTTTTTCTTACACAGTGGACGTTTGCCTCTTATTCTGCTTCTGACTGAAAGTGTTTCGCAGTGCAAGTCATATGATTTGGCTTCTGGATTTAAAAGTTGAACCAAATAAAGGGAACATTACTTTTAAGGGGCTATTTAAGAGTAATATTTATACAACTGTCATGTTACTTTAAATCTGGAATCAATAAATGCTTTAAATAGTTTTTATTTCAGTCATCTCACAAAGTTAAAGCTTAATCAAAGTTAGGAAATCACTAGATGGGTATATACAAGACACTAGATACATAATCTTTATGAAATTAAATCTAGTATGAGAAACATCCAATAAAGGACTTTTTCTGTCCGATTCTTTCACCTATTTTGATGCGGATGCCACTGACGTTGGACCTCTTGCGGCCCGCGTACGACAGCAGGATGTTCTGTGGTTTCAGGTCACGGT